ATATAAAAATATTAATATATTATAATAAAAATATTATTATATTATAATAAATTGATACAATAAATTTTAGAAAAATCTATGAGAAATTCTAGCAATTTTGTTTTTTATGTATATTAAGGAGTTTGTGACTTAATGGGTTAAAAATTTTAATTTTTTTATAATATCAAAATATTCAAATAATTAAACATTAAGTAATAAATAATACAATAAAGAACTTTTTCATATTATTTTTAATTTGATCAGATGAGGCCAAACATGGAAAAAACTGGTTGTCTAATTCGTTGCCACGGTGAACATTGTAGTTCATCTCAATGTTGTTCAAAAGAAAAATTTATCGAAGACTCATGTTCAGACTTATCGACCAAGAAACAAGGACAATCCATAAATAAGAAACTCGAGAAAAAGGAAATTATTCCTTCTTCAACTACAATTGATCTCAAGAAATTCGCTATTCATGATGAAGAAAGTTCACGATCGTGTCAAATGACTACAAATCAATCTGACGGAAGCTCATGCCAATCAAAGAACAAACAAAGGCAAAGTGATAAAGATAATACGAGAGACGAAAGTTCCTATGCGATAAACGTAGATGTTAATGATGGAAATCATGTTTCATGTACTACGAATCACAGTAACATTAATCCAGAGGTCGCATCATAACGTTGATTTAAAAAAAAAACATTATAGAGGACGCTTTATTGAATTGGATCAAATGTAACCTCAAAACGATAGAAGATAAATAGAAAAAATTAATGTATACAATTAAAATTTCGACTGATAAATTATATAATGCATCATTTTCAATATGAAAATATAGGTATTTTAAAAATTTTAATGAAAATTTTATTAAAAATTTTCATAAATATATTTTCGCAAAAGAAAAAAATGAAAGCATATTTTTTCAGTTAATTTTCAGTTATCTTTGTATAATTAATATCTTCATATAATTAGAATTAAAAAAAAGTAAAAATAATCTTGAAATTTTAAAATATCTTCATTTTCAATTTAAATACATGTACTAAAATTTTAATTAAATTTAATTTTGTCTTATGAGATTTTATTTGTGAATATATATATCTGCTACGTTTTTAAGGTTATAACTTGACTCAATTTCAAGAATGTATAAAAGTCAAATTATTATAATGTTTTTAATTATATTTTTTAAATTTAAATTTTCAACAGAATTTATTTTGAAAAATTTTTTATTTTTTAACTTTCTTTAGACTAATTAATAAAACAAAATAGACCACCAAGTAGTTATTTTTTAATTATTTAGTTTTATTATAGTAGTATTATGACATATTTACTATTTCATTATTACATATTAATATAATAATTTAAAAATAGAATTATATGAAAAAAAAATTGATTCTTATGAAATTCCTCAAAATAATATATTTTATATTAGTCTTAATGAAATAGCAAAATATTGTTTTACTAAAGCAATATTTATTATTCATTTTTAAATATTTTAATATAATTTGATGAAATATGCTTAGAGACAAAGTTATGATATATACAATTTTTTATATTATGTGTTATTAAAATATATTTTAAGATAATCATTTATCTTAAATTTATATTTAATATCAAGGATAAGAAGACTGGAAGTTATATTAACCCTTCAATGGCATATGAATTTTTTAAGTTAGATATGAGTTTTATTTATACATATATAAAAAAAATTCTGCATTCTGAAAATTTTGAAAATTCATAAAATTTTTTATATACATTCAAATATCTATTATATATTCGTTATTTAAAAAAAAATTTAAATAAGTTTTATATTTATAATTAATTTACGATAATGAATAAGAAAAATGAATATGCATTGCAAGATTAAATATTTTGTGATTTGTATATAATTTAAATAGAAAAAATATTAATAATTAATTCATGTAATAGTATAATATTTATTTAAGAAAATTTTAAGAAAATTATTTTGAATAATCATTGTTGCAAAACATTGATTATAATGTTTTAATGTGATCTTTTTGCTATTATAATTTCTAATAAGAAACATTATGATCTTATTATCCTATCATTAGTTATAATTATTTTAAAATATTATTTGATATTTTGTTATATAAGAAATTTGCAATTTATAATGTCATTTTTATAATGTATAATATATTGTTTTATCTATAGTTATGTGTAAAAAAAAAAGAGTGTTTTAAAATGTATGTAATAATAAAAAAATTGAATCAATATGTTGTTTTTATAAATTTTTATCTTAACAAATAAAATTACCATAAAAAACAATTTAAAGAATAATGAAAAAATAATATTTATTCAATTATTTAAAACATTATTTTAAAAATTTTTTTAAATTATCAATAATTTATATAATTGATCGATTTAATTTTAAATGAAAAAGAAAGGAGAAAAATTTATAAAATTTAGTTGATTATTATATATAATACTAACTAAAAAAAATTTTCTAGATTGTATATTTTATTTATTTTTAGCAATTTTTATAAAAAATATTTCAATCATCAAGATTTTTTTATATAATTCCAAAGTTATGAATATATTTTTAATAAAATTTTATATTTTTTTTATCTTTTTTTTATTTTTTTTTAAGTTTTTTTAGTGTTAAATTGACAATTAATAATTTAAAACTATACATTTATATTTCAATTAATCATTGTGAAAGAAAAAATTACTTTAATATTGTTATATATTGATATTAGTAGTCTAAGATGAATGTACTCGTACTGTTCTACTTTCTACTCGTCAAATACCAATGATCTCGACTGATTCACAGCTAAATCGTGTTAATTTAAAAGTCACACTTATATCGACCTTTCAAAATCGAATGAGCCATACTAGTTTATCATAGTTTCTCAATGAAAAATATTTTATAATTTTCATTAATATCGTTTTAACTTTTCAATAAATTTTTTAGAGAAATATATTATTTATATGTACTGAAGTTTGAAAAAAAATTTTAATTATTTAATTTAAAATTTAGAACAATAAGAAGATCAAGAAATAATTCTTTAATGTTTTCAATTCACCATAACTAAAAGTAAGCATTTCATTCCAAAAAAATTTAATTTATTTTTTTATGAGAACATTATTATTTTAAATAATTATCATATTCATGTCTCATATTTGTTATTTTGTGGAACTTATTTATTAAAGTCATTTTATTTATTAATGTCATAAAATAAAAGTTATATTTGTTATTAAACAAGAAATTTGCATATACGTATATAGATAAGTTAATTTTTAGTTAATTGTGTAGTTTAAATTTCTAAAAATATATGCTTCAAAAAATGAAATTCTAGAATTATAGAAATTATTAATAAAGATGATAAGCAAACAGATATTGTGTATATATTGATAGAATATATATACATATATATATATTGATAGAATTGCAAATTAATAAAAAAATAATTATATAGATCTCTAGGTAAATATATGTTTTTTATACTATTTTTGAAAAATTTTTTATATCATTTTATTTTCCATAAAATTTATCAATTAAAATTGTTTATTTTTTTATAATAATAACTTTTGTTAATGAGGATTTCTAATTTCTAATTTATATTTGTATTTTTTATCAATTTTAATTTATATATATAGAATCAAATATCTTGTCTCATTCTATTGTAGGAACTATCTCTAACTATTTATCATCGTTTACTATTTATACACAATATAATTCTAATAATATCATTATTTATTATTATGCAGATTTTTATACTTTTTTATATGTATATCATTCCAAAGAAATATTTTTCTATTCATTTCCTTTCAAAGCTTAATTTCAAAAAAATTATTTGTATTGAGAAAGCATTATAGCAACGAATCGCTAAGTTTTAAAAATTTTTATTGATGCAAATCTATTATTAAAACATAAAATAAATAACTTATTTATCATATTAAAAAACTAACTAACATAAAGTAAATATTATCTTTTTTAATTAAAATCTAGTATTTCAAAACATATATGAAAATTTAAATTTTGATTATTTAACCTTAAAAAAATGAAATATTTGATTAGATAAATTTCGTACAAAAATATCTATAATTCTTTATATAAAAATAAAAGTTCCAATATTTTTTACAAAAATATTGAATGATTATTGATCTGATAAAACTTACGAACCAACATTCTCTAACTTTTTTAAAAAATTCAAATATTACGCATGCCCAATTGAACGAATGTAAAAAAGTGACATGGCGGTTCTCCAATTTTCTATTCCCGCGATTAAATTCGAATACAGACTAAATGAAGGAGAACAAGATGACGTCGTCAACGATAACTCGTAATACCAGTCACATAGTCAGAGAATCGGTCAGGGTGGGGCTCGTTGCTCGTAGAATCGTGCTTATGCGTAACCCGTTCGTTCGGTTCATTCCTTCAGTGAGAAACAGTACGTCGAACATTGGTGATCGTGCATGGTGGCGCGTATGTATCTACGCGTATTCCTCTATGAAAGAGGTTGTCGCTTTCAGTGTGTTTTCTTGTTGAAAATATGAAATGATTAGTGAATAATTAAAAATCGGTGTATGTGTAATAAATAAAGAAAACGAAGATGATACATGTCTCAAGAATAATCAATGCAATCGTAGTTATCCTTGTTCTCAATCGAGGTAATGTCTTTACCTGTCATTTATATTCACCTGGCGACCAATCCGTTGTGTTTCGCTGAGGTGTCATGATCACGTGGTTACCATTGAGTCATGCTAAGAGAAACAGGTTTTCTGAATGCTGCATACCATTTGTTATTGTGTATCTCATTGAGAGTTACTATCATAAGGAACAAACTTGACCTTACGTATATGATTATTGATGATATTAAAAGGTTAATTATCTTATTTAAGATTTTATTAGTGCTTTTTAGGTTAAGATTTGACAATTGATTAAATTTGACAATTGATTTCAAAGATTTGTAGTTTGTTCAAGTTTTTTTTCTTGTAATAAAAAAGAAGAATAAAGTTTTATTGTAGAATAATAATTTTAGGAGTATATATATATTGTTGTTTAAAACATAGTATCTTGAACAACAAAACAAGTATTTTGAAAATTATATGTATAAAAATTTTAGAATTTGATATTTTTAAAAATAATGTAATTTTGAAATCATAAAATAATTATTTAATTTGTAAATTATAAAATTTGGAATCTTATTAATCTTTGCTCAATGAAATACTTCAAATATTTTTCTTAGAACAATATGTTTTTGTTTCTTAAATTATATCATTGATTTATTATCTATTTTGATGTATAAAATATTTCGAATTCAATGACGCGTTAAACAAATAATATTCAGTTGCTTCTCGCAACTTGCATAATAATTAGATACATTAATTGCATACGTTTATTTCTAGTTTTTCTACTTTAAATCAGAAAATATCTCTAAAAATAATATAGAAATAAATCAGATTCGTTTTAAATGTTTCATTATCATTTTGGCACTGTATATGTAAATAATTAGTGAATAAAAAATTTCCATTCATTTTAAACTGAACATATTATATAGATTAAAATTATGATTTTTAAAAATTAATTTTTAAAATATTTTGTAATGAATGGTAAATAATAAAAGAAATAAAATGAAATATTTAAAATTCAATTAATAAAACCTATACTTATACTATATCATTATAACAATATTTATTTAATTAATGCAATAAAAATATAGATAAAAATTAAAGAAAAAAAAAGAATATTTCTTATGTGATATAATAATTGAGCAATATATTATCATAATTTTACAAATTACAAATTGCCATTGCTATTTTGCTAATACTCTTACATAATGATATCAGATTTTTTTGAATGATTTTTATAAATCATGAATTAATTCTAAAGATAATGAAATATTATTAATATAATTAAATAATAAGTACTTATTATGCAGAAAAAAGTTTATATACTTAAAATAAATTATTTATGACTTACTTCTTACTTTTCTTATGATAACCTATAAAATATAGATCGCAGATAAATGTAATGATCAATCAACTCACAGTAGTATCTAATTACAACATTCCATTGGAATATATCTATATATTCTATATTGGAATATATCTATCTATATCCCGTTGAGAATTGACAAATTTATCATTAAATATAACAATATGAAACAAATATAACATATATGAAATATGAACGATAAAATTGATCGATATCAAAGTGTATTTCAGAAAAGTTGAAGAAAATATTGAATTAATGAAACAAACTTTTATCTTTATTCTTTTATCAATGCAATTTAATGTTTTTAAATTATTATCATGTATGTTATGTCAGAGAAAATAATTTATTTATAAATTATCTATAAATGAAATAGAGATAAATAATTTATAGAAATAGGGGAATAAATAATTTATAGAATATTTTTTTTTCTATATTATAAAATTATAAATGATACCATATTTTTTGAAAAAATACATAAATAATTCATAATACATAAAAAATAATATTCATGAATATCATTAAAAATTTATTTAAAATTTTATTTAAAATTTTTAAAAAAATTTTTTTATTTTAAATTTTTTTTTTAAATATTAGGAATATATTATATGTATCTTATTTGAATTTTCCCGCGCAAATATTTTCCATTCTGTTTGTTATTTAAAAAAATATTTTAATAGAAAAAAAAGAATCATATATAATAAAAATTTATATAATAAAATTTTTAATATTTGTAAATGAAATACTTATAAAATATTTTTTATTTTTATATCTTTTTTTTTAATATTTTTATTTTTAATATATGTTTAAGGAATATTGTTATATGTAAAATTTATTTATATAATATGATATCGAAAAAAAAAATTATATATCGAACAATATTTTTCATAAAGATGTGATTAAATGTGATGACTTTATTATTGTTAATAGAGTGAAAAAATAACTGTAATATGCAAAATATGCTATATTTCTTTTAAAGAAATAAATATCATTTAAAGTATAAAATATAAAATACTTATCATACATTGATTTAAAAATTTCTTTTTAATAAATATGATTTAACAATCTTTTTAATAAATACGATTTGATCAATTGGTTACACATCGGTATTTTACTTGAATAACGATGATCAAATAAAACTCGTCATATCTTTTATTCGTAGAAGTAGCAGTATAGATATACTTAGATATATTAAATATTACGTTTGTAAATAAACTTAAATTGCACAATAATTTAATTAAATCTTTTTTTCAATTAAAAAAATATACAAATATTAAATTATGCTGTTTTTACATTAGAATTTGAATAATTAGAATTTGAATATTATTTTATATAATATAAAATGGAAAATAATATTTTATATATATTGAAAAAAAAATTCAATAATAATAAAAATAAATGTTATATAAAATAATTAATTTCAGATGTAATCATTTTTAATTATTATTTATTCTATTTATTATTATTTTTTTTTATTCATATTTAATATATTATATTATAAAAATATTATAATTTAAAAATAATTTAATTATTCGAATTATTGTTTGCAATTTTTGTATTTATACGACAAAAAGAAAATATCTGAATACTAAGTTAATCTACGAGGGACCATTCATTTCTCTTCATCTTTTATCGTCAGTAGGTTGGGCAGTTCTTATCAAAAGTTCCCAATATGCGGCAACAAGTCCCACGATTTTGTGTGTACATAAAAGTTATATATAAAATTATTTTCAACTGTTATCTTGAAAGTGACGTTGTCATATAGTCCTTAAGAATTAATTGGATATATATATTAAAAGAATCTATTTGATAAATTTAACATTTATTTATTTATTATTAAAAATTTTTGATCTTAAGATTCATTAATAATATCAATAATATCAATAGATATTATAATTAATATATTATAAAAAATAAGTTAATTAATTAAATTAATTTGAAAAAAATTGTAATAAGTATTATATTATTTCAATTTGAATTAAAAAGATACGAAACTTAATACGAAATATAATATAAAAATTCTATATATTTAATCCATTATCATAATCCAATATCGGAAATCTTAAATAATTTAATACTGGCATTCATTTATCGAAGATGTCACGATAAGGCTTAACGACTAAGCCATCCATGTTTATTTTTCTCATAATATTATAAAAATTATTCGTAAAATAATTATCATCAATTAAAGATTGTTTTATATGATAATGATCTATTAAAGAATAAATTTAACAAAAGATTCTTACCAGTCTTTGCTCCTGATTTATTTATTTGTTTCTCTGTGGAACGTTGATTGATAATGTGGCTGTATTATCAGAAGAGGAAAGAAAGGACTTCCTTCCTAGAGACGGTTGTATATGCGCAGAAACGATTTCTCGGCATATACGTGTATTTTTACAGAAAATATAGTAACAAGAATAGAAGATAAAATCGATTATCTACAGGACATTGTGGCTAAAAATTTCTTCTTAATTTTGAAATATTCTCGTTCTCGTTCTCTATTTGTAGATCTGAAAAAATGTTTACAAAAAATGTCTACAAATATAAATGTTTTTTTGAAAGTTTTTGATTATAATATTTTACTTTTATTCATTTCATTCATTTTGTTTATCATTAGAATAAAAAATTGAAGAAAAATTTAAAAATCTTTTTAAAAAATTATTTTTTTTTTTT